TGGTTCAGGTGCTTCAGATGGTTCAGGTGGTTCTGGTGTGTGTTTGGCTGCAGAAATGATGGAAGTTAGTAAGATGTCCTTACAAGGATAGAAATTTGAAAGAGGGAGAGACAGAACCGTCCATATCTTGTTACAGTCATGCAGGTGAAACTGAAGCCAAGCAGTCCTGGCAGCAAACCTTTGGACTGTGTGTGTGTGTGTGTGTGCGTGCGCATGCATGTGTGCATGTGTGAGATAAACTTCCTGTTTGGTACTATTTCCTGTTTCTTGTGTCCTGCAGCTGCTTTTGTCCGCAGGACGTGGTAGAAGAAGCCGTGCTCCTGCTGCTCATCACAGAATCCATGGTAAGACTTTCACACTCCTCCATTTTGTTTCTCGTCTTCCTCTTCCTTGTCCCTCATCTGTTTCTCTGTCACTCCAGACCAGTGGTGAAGCGGTGATCAGCCGTCTGCCGGACCAGAACATGGCCCGTCTGGCCAGCCTGCAGGATGCCACCTCCATCTATGACCTGCTAACCATGGTCATGGCCAGGAGGGGGCAGTATGCCCTGCTATCTGAGGTGAGCCAACACACTGACCCCACTGCATCTGTGTAGCTAAAAGTAGCTAAAAGTAGCTAAATGTGGCTAAGTGTAACTGATATGCTAATGGTTCAGGGGGTAGAAATAGTACGGAGACATGCTGGATGTTGTGTTGGACTTAGTGTCTTCTCATCGTCTCTCATCACTAGACTGCTGGACTTCTGCTCCGTGTGTTTTACAGGATTAGGGCTAAAGTATTAAAAAATGTATGTACTCCATCCCAGTGCGTTTATTAGAAATTGAAGCTCCGCCTCCAGTGTGCGGACTGTCTGTGGTGGGTCCAGTATCTGTCACGACTCAAACGTGCGTCATGACGTCTTCTGTTTCTTTCAGTGTCTGCAGAGAGCCATGAAGTTTTCAGTCTATGACTTCCACCTGTGGCAGCAGCTGGGCCTGTCGCTCATGGCAGCTGGGAAGGTGAGCTCCTTCCTTCATGAACACACA